ATGTCGTGTATGTGTGTGTTTGTGTGTATATTCATGTGTGTGTGTGTGTGTGTGTGTGTCGTGTGGGTGTTCTGTCCGTCCAGTGCTTTATCTGACGGTCACTCCAAGTTTTTCCAGCACACGGACTCCTTTCTCCTGGTACTCCTCCCGGGTCAGCCAGAAGTTGTCCTTGTCCTTCATGATGTCGGCCAGCACGGCTCCACCCAGGAACACCATGTGCTTTCGCCTGGGAGGATCCTCAATCCGGATCTTAAATTTCTACAGGAAAAGAAACACAGAGGAGAATGATGAGTTGCCAATACTGCTCAAAGTTCCCAAAAGTCTACATGTTTTTCTAATCAATGTCAAGGAGATTTATATCAAAATTCGAGTGGTCTAAATCAGATAGAAACTAACTTGATACAAGCTTAAGATCAGAAGATAATTAAGATAATTAGGTATAATTATGATAATACTTTTTACTTAACTATCAGTTCTTCCTATGAATTCATGGCTACCCAACTCTTGACACAATGAGCTCCTTGGCTTCAGATGGCGTGAGCTCTCTTAATAAAAATAGTTTAACCACAGTCCGCTGTCGAAGCAGCCTCATGTTAAGTTTATACACATACATACACCGCCTCCAGACAGCCGGCAAGGCAAGCAAGCAAAAAAAAAAAAAAAAAAAAAAAAAAAAAAAAAGAACGAAAAGAAAAGAAAAGAAATACAAGCATTTTTTGCTGATTTCCACAGTTGTCCACTTTTTAACATTGAGAAAGAACAACTGGAGTTGAGCTACAGAAAATATTTCATGTGGTTCAGACAACAGGAGCTGCTTAAGTTAGAGACTACAGGAGGCAGGACACACGATGTCCTCTTGCTAGCATTAAATGCACTTAAATATTAGTTGAGCTTTTTGCACACTGGCGTGATCTGATATCTGACAGGGCCTCTGTACTGGACAACTGGCAGGATAAGGACCAGCTAATACATGACCAGCATGGTGGTGGATAACTGCACTCTCACATGCACCTCAGCCAGAAAAGTGTTAAACAGGCCAAGACTTTCCTCAAGACCTAGCGGGATTTTTTCAAATAAATTAAAAAAAACAAAACAAAAACAAAACAAACACCAAATGTTTGAAGGAGCTTCTATCGAAAACATGCTGAATTCAATTTTTTACAGTCTAAACCAACAGCAAACTTGAGAACTGCGCCATAGTAGGATTGGACAGCTTGGTTTAGCCAGGTGTAACTAACATGTTTTTTTTGTGACATTTAAAATATAAAACACATTTAAGTGTGTTTAAACCTTCCGAGGAGCTTCCGCTTGCAAAAAACCACAAGAATAAATTGAAAATTGGAAAATCAACCCGTGTTCACTCGCAAGTTTACTGTTAACAAATAACAGTAACGTGAATTTGAAGCGCTAGCTTGCAGGGCACCTCTGTAGTCCATCACATACATACATGTGATTAATAACTGAGGTCGATTTTTTTTTTTTTTAAATGAGCAAAAACTGTTATGACCTATGAGACATTAGGAAACATTTGGAGCCAGTATGTGACCAGTCAAATTTACAGTGCCTGTAACTGGGAGGCTCTTCATTTAAAGGCTCTTGACAGGTGACTGGATGAGGCCTCTGTCTATCACAGGCTAATGTGGGTATTAACAGAACACGACAGTGAGGTTCAGGAACTGAAAATCCCATTTATATTCTCCATAGGGATTTGATTATGAGCCATAATGTTATAATCATCTAAAGTAGATTTACTATGAGCTACACTGTGAAATGATGGTTTCTACTCCTGCACCAACCACAAATCTACAACATATCAACCTTGTTTTAACAAAAATAAAGAAGTAGTGAATAACTGAAACGGCAACATCTATGACTGAAGGAGGTCACTGTTGTCATGGAAATGTTAGTGTGAAACTGTAGAAAGACATTAAACAACACCATTATTAATTATAGAAACATTTTACTACCTTGTTCGTGTTTTTACATTTCTTATTTGGTATATGGATTAAAGAATTCAAAACAAGGCTACATGGCTACAGAGAGAGCACAAACAAAGAATAACCTGGAGACTGTACACCACTACAACACGTAGACTTTTACTGCAGCTAAAACACACAGCTGCCACAAGAAGCTGACTGGTCCGACCAACAAATGCTAAGCTTTTAGTCTAATAAAATGGATCCTGTTATGATCACAATTGTGTGAGAATCTGCATTTGTCTCAGGAGTTTTCCAGCTCCTGAGGGAAATATAGGAAGAAAGCTGCCTGCATGGAATCGATGCGACTGAGAGCTCAGAGACAGACGCGAAAAGAATAAACTTTCTATCGTAAGACCAAAACAATCAGGTGACAGGCAGTAAAATGCTGCTTTAAGACCCAGCAGGAATCACAGCGTGAGCTGATAACTCTGTGGTTTTATCACGACAACTGAGACCTTGCAAATTACAGAGTCATCTGATCAATTGATAATCAAAAACACAGACCAATGCTGCTTTAAAGCGACCTCATGACAGCTGTGGTCAGATTCACAGGCAGTCCAATTTGTGTTTTCAGCACAGAAAAATGATAACACAAACATCTCCTTCAGCACAATCTACTTCTGTGTGGCATGTTTAAACACTCATATTTTCACCAAATAGGGCAAAGGATGCTGCTTCTGTTTGTTGCTCACGTGACTGGCTGTCTAAACGTACTAACAAACTTGTAAAGGTGCAAGCTACACAAGGAGGTGGTGTATTTGCCATATTCTAGCAGGAAAACAAGTGCTAGCAAGACTGACTGTGGTTTAGTTAACGCTAGAGTTAAAACTGACATTCAACAAAGCAGTTTCTTTCTAGCAAAAACTCATCAGCATCTTTTTAGTTCTGAAGAGTTTTCATAAAGGGAAAAAAAACCTATCATTGGATTCCCACAATAACTTTGCAGACTTCAATTCCAAAAAAAAAAAAAAAAAAAAAAAAAAAAAAAAGAGACAATCTGGGAAAATTGGGGTCGATTGCAGTTGCAGGCAGAAAAGTAAAGCACATAATGATGTGTTCTTTAAACCTATGAGTCATCTGCTGAGCTTTGTTTATAAAATACTTCTGTTTAAAATCATCTGTGTCTTTGGGATACCGACATGAAAAGGTAGAAATATTTTACCAAAACAAATATTTGTCACTATGAAGTTAACTGCACGCTTGTTTAAATTAAAGGAGTGTCTGGCCTCTGGCACTACCTTGTGGTAGTTTGTCTACACTGCACTAAAAAATTCATAAAGCCAGTCTTGTGCTTGAAACGGGCAAGGTTCAGACATGATAGCTGCATGCGGTTTAAGTTCAAGGTGTGTGAAAACACAGCGAGATGTCATTTACATCCTTGAGAAACATGTTCCCTGTGCTTCATTCTGGCACTTCAATGCTCTCTAACATGTGGGAAAAGCCGTACTGAAGATCTTTAACAAAATGTGAGAATCAGGGGAAATGTTTTACTTCAAACCAGAGGCCAGATGCAGACTTCTATGTTCCTTTCTATAACTAGAGCACTCTTTAAAAATCACACTGGATAGATCTAATGAGCTAAAATCAATGTCCCAGTTTTTCAAAGTGACAATCATACTGTGAATCATATTTGAGCAGTTTTTGCTCACAGTCAGTACTACATGTCACTTTATAGGAGAGGGCTGGTTTCTCACCGAAAGCTTGTCCACATCTCCCTTGAGCACACGCTCCAGGTACAGCTGCTTGAGCTCCCTCTCCAGCCGAGATGGCAGGCCGGGGTACATGGTAGATCCGCCTGAGAGAACGATGTGTTTGTAGAACTCAGGCCTGATGACAGGAAGACAGAAAAGGGTGAAAGCAGGAAAAGGCACATTTTCTCATTTTAAGTCAGCAAATGCTGGAAAATGTACTTTCCAAACAGATCTTCAGTGACTTCAAGAGAGTAAAAATAAATTATTGAACTTAAGCAGCAAAGGATCAGTCATACTTAGTTGACTTGCAAGTGTTTACATTTTTTCCCCTTGTTCCATTCTTTTAAAGACTCATGATCAATTTTCAAACTTTCCATACTGAACTCTAGACTTCACAAAATATTTAGTTTTAAGTCTAAAAGCCTCCATTGCTTAAGGGAAAGCTGTGATCAGCTGACATTGCCATTTGACATCCATCTATCTATTGCTTGCCAAAACGTCTGCCTCTGCTGAAACTTCCTAATGCTGTGGAAACACTGAGTCACCCTCAGGAAAGCTTTTTATTGATAGTGGAGTATACATGTGCCCTTTTGTTGGCCTCACCTGGTGTCTATGTCAGCTGCTTGGATGGTGTTGAAGAGTAGCTCGGCCACTCCAACGCCCTCCACGTTGATGAGGTGGGGCTGGAACAGAGCCTCAGGGGCCTCAAACCGCTCTCCTCCCACCTTGATCACACGGCCATCTGGCAGCTGGAGTTGTGTGGGAGGATGAAAAAAAAAAAAAAGCAAAGAGGGGGAGAAAAAAAAAAAACATGACACTAATGAAGAGGTAAGATTTAATGTACAAGAGTGCCCAAGGGTGTGAAACTCTACAGTGAGAATCATGATTTAAACTGAAAGGAAGGTTTAACTTCTCAAAAGAAAAGAAAATCCTACCAGACTGGTGACACTGTACAGCAAGTTAGAGCACGGAGAGTGCTGGCCTCAAACTGACTATAGTGAATGCATGTGACTATAAAAAGGCTTCATTCAGCCAAGGGCAGTGGGAGGAAACAGAGCCTAGCCACTGCCGCAAAGTGGCTGCACAGGAAATGATGTAACGCGCAATTCAGGACCTTTCGGCCACAGGTACATTGCCCTCCTTGTTTCGGCACACAAAACCATACTTACACATACATGTTCACGCACCTATTCACCTACACGCACACAGTCGCCTACACTAACCCAAACACACATGGTCAGAGCGCACTGAGACACAACATGTGCTCGGAAAGGCGTGCAGTAACACAGACACCAGGACTAACGTTTGGATTCTGTGGTTCTCTCTGCAGGGAAATGGACCTCGGAAAGAAAAGCAAGCCTGACGGAGGAGCACTGCACCCCCATATGTCTGAGTCTCAGAGAAAACTGTTAGTCAGTAGCATGGTCCTGTACCAAAGCTGCCAACTGCACCAACAGTGGGCATGTGGTAGTCTACTTAGCTCAGTGCTGAAACAGATTTAGTTACCCCATTAGTTTTGATTATTTCAAAATACTGCCACTTTTGAATAACAAATCCTTTGGGAGGGATTCTGTCTGCACCGGTGCTATTTTAGGCAGAAATATGAAACTTGTGCACATGTGGAGTGCGTAAAAAGAACTCATTTTAAAGGAAAAAAGTAAACAAAACAAAAAAAACGTGCAACCCCTCAGGGCTGGAAATTTGCTGACTTGTAAAAACATTCAACCTAAATAAAATAGATGTTTAACATGCCAAAAATATACATTTCAGAATTTCAATCGGTTTTTGCACATTGGTACCTGTGATGGGTAGGGCTGCTTGGTTACCGTGACAATTATTTAATAAATATAATACTCAAGGTTTGGAAAAATTATGGATTTAAACTTGTTTTTTGATGAAAAAAAAAAATTACAATTTTTTTTAATATTTAGTTTTTATTTAAAGCTTCTTTTGACTGCTCCCTTATTCACAAGGTGTCATGACAGGATATATCTGCATATTTGATTTGGCACAGACTTTTACCCCGGACACCCTCCCAGCAATTTTTGCCTCTTCTGAGTCTTGAACTGGAGACCTTTTGTGCGTTAGACAAATGTGTTAACCACTACAAAACAGAACCAGATTTTATTCATTTGTTTATTATCATCATTGCAATTTGTAATTTTAGTGTTTGTTTTCACGGGTTGTGTGTTTTTGGGAGTGGAGTCGAAGTCTTGTTGTTTAAATTTGCTGGATAAATGAAAGTGATATGACTCACTGAGAGCCAAAATTGGAATAAAAATTTAAAAAGATTCAATGCACAAAGCTGCTGACTCGTATACTTGAGTTAATGACTATTAATGTATGTAGATTTTTGTTATTGTTATTTTACTGCATTTTTGTTATATAAAGCTCGGCTTCTTGAGTGACTAATGCACACAATGCCCATGTGAGGGCACCAATCATTTTTAACGCCCTTTTTATGCAAGCTGCAGTGTTTTGATAACACTTTCCAAAACGGCACACCCTAAAATCTTTTATTGGCGTTCATAAGGCAACTGTACCGACCAGCTTGGGATTAACATCAAACATGTGGATCAGTTCTCTCACAATGTCACACCAAATGTAACTGCATTTGTCAGTGACTTATTACTGTTAAGAATAAACATGCGAGTGTCTACCGTGTATGATTCCACCAGCACGGTGGTCTCGAGCGCCAACTTCTGCTCCTGTTCGATGTTGTAGCCTACATAGCACAGCTTCTCCTTCATCATGCGCACCGTCTCAAAGTCTGCAGAGTGGTTGAAGGCATAACCCCTCAACAGTAACAACTGCACATGGAGAATGAGAAAGAGGTCAGGGAATAGGGAAGGAAAAGCAGAATAAAATGAGACTCTTTGGCTCACTTAATGTAATCTCCTAATATATCAAGTTGCACTGGAGGAGCTTTTCTAAATTAAGATCTTCCCATTAAGTTGCAAACAAAGAATCTGATGACATATGCAAGACTTCACACACAAAAAAAGACTAAACTGTGACATATTTTTATACGCTGCAAAACATATTCAAACTTGTGCATTCAGCAGCACATTTTGGAAGTCGGATGTTAGAATGGAGTTCTCACAGAACCTGCTATTTAAAGATTAATCTAAGAATATTTTGCCAAATCTCCACCTCACGTAGAAACACTTTGATGACATTATTCAAACTGGATACCTTGATGAGGTAGCGGGTGATGTCCCTGCCTGCGATGTCCAGACGTCTTGTCAGGTGGGGCAGACTGAAGCCCTCATACACAGGACAAATGTGCGTGACACCATCACCTGAGTCCACCACCACACCAGTGAGAAGGCCTGAAACACAAACACACTCTACAGTTAATAACCTGCAATTCTATCAAGCAAGGAGAATTTTATCCAGAGTGTGCTTGCAGCTGCTGATTACTGCTGGCTGGGTAAACACACACACACACACAAAAACTGCTGCAATAACACAGCTAATGTAACAGTTACCTACTTATAACTGCTACTGAGCAGTTATAAGTAGGTAATTGCTTATTTTAAAAAAAAAAAATCTGATAAAAATAGTAGAATACTAGACAGACCTCACGCAAAGCTGTGTTTGCACAACATATCAGCTGATGTCAGAAGTACTGATAAATGTTTTGGCACAAATATGATCGTGTTAGTCTGTAAGAACAAACATTTTGACCAAGAAGTGTTTGTGTGGTAGCTAAATACTGCTACACAAAAACTTCCACAACTAACTTTAACAGCGGTCTTGTTTCTAAGTTTAATGACGTAAATAGTAATCAAGAAAATAGTACAATACGTTTTATAACTGTCCGCTTGAAGGGCCTATAATTGCACTTTAGGGCTAAAATTAATTTCTAGATGAGGCAGTTTAAGGAAGCAGAAGAACAAGTCTAAAATGTCTGTGACATGAAAGCTGTGTTATGCAACAGAAAAAGGTTAGTGTCCGTTTTGACTAAACATGTATGTAAAGGCCTCTACCTTGGGCATACAGTGTCAGCACAGCCTGAATAGCAATGTAGACTCCTGCAAACTGGTAGGTCTCAAACATCACCTGTGGTAGAGGACAGGAAGTACAACTGTTGAGAAACTTGACACACTACAGCAGGCAACGTGGGTGCAAAATTATTTCTGTAGCGTAATGCAGAAGTAGCACACAATGAAGTCATTTCACGGAGGATTAACCAAACTGCAACTTCTGCTATGCTTTAAAAATCAATTTCCCCCCGAAAGACTGCAAGATGCTGCCTCTGATAATGACAATTTTAATGTTACCTCGATGATTTTCTCACGGTTCTTAGTGGGGTTCATGGGGGGCTCGGTCAGCAGAATCTTGCAGTTGCGGGAGTCGATGTTGAGCTTCTCTGGGCCAAAGGTGTAGTCCCACAAGTGCTTCATGTCATCCCAGTTCCTGACAATGCCGTTCTCCATTGGATAATTGACCTCGAGCATGGAGCGCAGCTCACTAGCCTCATCCCCCACCATCAGGTCCTGCAGGAAATTTAACAGAGATAAATATTTAAAAATAGTGCAGCAGAGCCCTCAGGATTGTGGAGCCCACTGTGGAACAATCAGAGTCACTGAGCAAAAGGATGAGTATATAGCCTCGGTCTGGAAATTAAACTCAGTCATCTCATTTGCCTACTTGCCACCTGAAAACTTCTGTCATGTGACAACAAAAGCATTCATGTAGCACTTTGACTTAAAACGCAATTACCCACCATGCACAACAAGGCATCATTTTCCATGCATATACACCTGGAAACACTTTCCTTTAGCTACAGTACACCACTCGTTTAAGCCACATTCAACTATCTGCATGCAAGGCACCCCGGCAAAATGTAAACAACTGTTGGGTTAGAGCTCAGTGTTAGCCACACAGTCAAGCATCTCACGTTCCACTTGGAGACATCAAAAGCCTACTGAAGGCAGCCATTTTATGGGTTCATCCTGTGCTCTTTGGCATTAATGAGTACCAGTCACAGGCATCGCCTCCATGTGGTGTCATTAAAGAAAAAAGAAAGAAAGAAGGGGGGAAAAAAGGAAAGAAAAACAGATGTGTTTCCATCTCCACCACAGCTGTCTGCCATGCATCCTCAAGTATGGGCACTTCCTCTATACTTAGAATAAAGAATAATTATTTTTCATATTGGACATTAATCAATTAAAATATGCTGACTGCTTCAAAATGGCTGGGAAAATAGATACATATGATACATACAGATACAGAAAAATCTGATCTTTGGCACACATTGCTCTGGGTGACATTTTAAGTTGTTTTCAACTGAAAAGTGCTTCAGGATTGGTGGGAGGGTAGCTGTCAGGATGCAGGAGGAGATCAGAGACTTTGACAGTGGAACCGGTCCAAAATCTCTTTTAGCACTCCATCGATAACAGCTGGCCTATGATTCACTGCAGCTATTTCTGCTAACACTCTCAGCCTGGAGAAAAAAAAAACTGCTGTGGATTGGCCTTACCAGCCAGCAATACCCAGCTTAGGACCCAAAATCAAAAGGTAATGAGGATGTACAAAAATGGGATCAGAATGAGTGATGAAAAAATAAATTCATGAAACACACTGGACAAAACAAAAGAAAAACTCAATCAAACAAGAGGCTTAATTTTTAATTTCATTATATGACTCAGCTCTCTATAGCAAGCAAGAATCAGAAGCACACACCAACCTAAACTTACCATTTTCTGGACATTCTACTTCACCAGGAGAGGAACAAAACATGGAGGAAGAGGAGGCAGATATATATAAAAAAAATGAACAAACAAAAGTGGAAAGGACAAGGAGAAAGGTAGAGATAGGCACCATGCCAAAATAATGTGAAGCTGTCAAGACATTTACACCGCTGCTGTCTTGCCTGCTAAAATAAAAGGACCTGCTAGTTTTGATGTGGGCTGGTGTTCAAAGCATTTTTCAGAGATTCATTAGGGTGCCAACTCTTACAACAGTCTATCTTGACCGTCTATTACTTTGACACTGTGCTTATATAAGAGACTGACTTTATTCTGTAATGTATATTTCACATCTTGATTTTTTTTCTCTCCTGTTTTCAACTTATATTTTTGTCCGATGACCCATTTCCTTGAGGGGGAAAAAATGCATAAGCAGGAACAGTCTGTACCTTGATCTCAATGTTTCCCACTTTGGCTGTAGAGCGAATGATGGGTCTCCCAACAAGTGCAGGGAAGATGTGCTCTGGGAAGTTGGAGCCTGCATAGCCGCACTTGACAAACTACAATAGAGAGACAAAAAGGAAAGAAAACCAGAGCACAGAGGAAGTGATTAGAAAATACTGATAAGATCAATTCTAGAACAGAGCTTGAAAACATTACTATCATCCTATTGATAACAAAGACCCCAATTACCATTCAGAATGAGCATGTTTGATGACGATGCACGTTTCATGTACTGCATGTCTAAATGTGGTCAGTTCCTGCATTAATTAACTAAAAAAAAAACTAATTTAACTAAAACTAATTTCCTTTTTAATGCAAAAAACCAACAAAGATATTTAACATTAATATTCTGCATCTGTGATTTTCACATTTATACAATGAAAACCCCTCTGTGTTATTACCAACAAATAAAATATTATTAGAACCATTTGTAAAAATCAATTTTGTGAGAGCTACAAAGACTATCATTTACACCAAATGGAGATATAGACAATTTGCTGTTCTTTGCGCTCAGCTAGAATAGTTGCACGAGCTCAGATAACCAAAGACCAGGAAAAGATAGCATCAGGGGTGCACTGGTGTACGATTACCTCTAAAATATCAGCCGCAAATACCGTTACAGGAAGTTGTTTTAGCTCTAATTAAAATATTTGGCTGTTTTCTGATTCTACACACCCTTTTTTGCACCAGTTTAATTTGCTTTGAACCAAGTATAAAAACATTTTTTGCATCAATACACAGCACAAAATGTAACCAAGTAACAAGGGATGCAGACTGCAAACATGCAATTTGGAAACCGTTATGGTAAAATTCATTGAAAGACTATCAAGAGTAAACTAAACAATAAACAGTCTAAACTTTTTTCTGCATGGGAAAAAGAAAAGAAAAGAAAACGCATTTGCATTGGACTGTGAAAAAGCATGCAACAACGCTCTTAACAAATCTGCTCGTGACATATACGGCTGTGGTTCAGACTCGTCTCACTTCCTCTTGACTTCTCAGTTCAACTCTGACACAGGGCTGTTTTTTCCCTCTGTTTCACAGAAAGCTCTTGAAAGACTCACAACTCAAAAGAGCCTTATTAGTCAGTAACATGCTGAGCCAACATCCTCTTTGACTGCTGACGTTTAGACAAGGAAGCCTGCACACCCCAAAAGAAACAGTGCTACCTGTGTGTGTGCAATAAGCAATTTAGAAGCATAAACAAAGCTCAGTAAAGTTTATATTAAATGCTTGATGGCGCACAAGCTGAGTATTTTATTAAGAGCGAGTACAGCTATAAGGAAATACAGCAGTATATCATTCATGTTGATAATTACTATTGGGGACGAAAAGACCACAAAAATGTATCTGATGTAGTGCAAATATGAGCAGCTTTTTGGATGGTGGTTACTTTCCTTTGTGGTGGGGGCTCTTTCGCAATGTTTCATTTTACACACCCATAACTTCCGAGTGTTTAGCCCCCAATTTTAATCAATAAGTACATGTAAACACACAGCCGACGTGCAGATCCAAAGATACGTGCAGAAATACACCTGCTGAGGTCTTTCCGGACTCCTTACTAATGGATGCTTGGGTTAAATTTTTAATGAGCGAAGTTAGTGTAAGCTGCGGAATGAGAAAACGTAAAGGTGGTTCCTCAATTCACCTGACACGGCCTAGCTAGCATTACACCTAGCCGACACTGAGTGAAAAAACATGTAGCTCCGGTCCTTGGAAAGCAAACCCCGACTACAGCATGGAAAGAATGAATCTGCAAATTCCGTGTGGTTTGCCGAACAAATCGCTGAAATGACTGACGTAGCTGCCAGACAGCAGAAACCAGACAGCCAGCTGTTAAAAGCTAACTAGAAAGGCTAGCTCGGTTAGCTTACTAACCGGTGGTTGCACCTAGGACGTTAACTATTAATTAAGGGAGTTATGCAGGAGGGAGCAATACAACTAGAGATTTTAATTAAATTTTATCCGTGCATTTCCATCCAATCCGCGGGCCGTTTCCGCATCAGGACTGGATGAATGAAAATTAGCAGGCTAACTGGCTAGCTACACACCCAGTTAACGCTAGCTAGCTTGGACGGTGACAGACCCACTTCCTGTTTCAGCAAATCAGTCGACATAACGGCTCCTTTTAGAGCAAGACTCGAGCTGGTAACACGCCGAGCTAAAACGGTAAGCTTACCCCGGTCCCATTGTCGCAGACCACCACTTTCCTTCCCTGGCTGTCCATTATGTAAAAGCCCAGTTGCTGCTGAACCTCCCTCAACTTTCTTCGGCAAAGCCGGAAGGAAGACACACCAACCCGGCCGAAAGGAGGAAGGGAAGGGTGCTCATCCGGTGTGTTCAAATGACATACATTCTCTTCTTCATCTTTGAATTCGTCCCATAAAACCCGTTTTATTTATTTATTTCAACTTTTATTTTATTTTTTTTAATTTCATATCATCAACCTACATACAGTTAAAGAAGGAAGGAAAAACACAATCACACAAATAATTACTGTGTCACAAACCATCTACATATTGTGCACGCATGAAGTTGTGGTTAGAAGTTTACGTACTGCATAGCATACTTCTTTAATGACTTTTAAAAAAAAAACAATAATTAGATGCAGTTATTTATTCGGTCCAGTTTTGATGTGTGTTTTAGGTCATTGTCATGAACCTAACCTGGAGTACCCAGCTGTGTTCTGGCTTTAACTATCTAGCTTCTGTCTAACTACTACTATCTTTGCAAGAATGTGGAGGTGGTCCTACTCCTTTATTATTCCATCCACTTTCTGCAATGTACCACAATTACTGACAGCAAAATAGCGCCAGAGAATGATGCTAGCATCACCATGCTTAAGAGCTGGTACAGTGTTCTTAGATTTGAAAGCATCATCTTTGCCCCTCCACACATACCCTCTGTTATTGTGACCAAGTAGCTCAGTTTCTGACACTGGTCTTCCAGCAGTTTCCAGTTCCTTGGAATTTCTCATTGTTCTGAGTGTTGGCCAGTGAGTGCTGTCAAACAAATTCTTTTTATGCTGCCAAAGACAAACTACAGTTATAGTCAATCATAATCACCAATGCGAAGTTAGTAATGAAATGAAACTGCAGAACCTTAACTTTTAAAATATTTGAGTGTATATATATATTTGAGCCTGCATGTGCACTTGTGATCTTGTGTGGATTAGAGAAAATCCAAAATAAATTCAGATTAGTGTTTTTTGAACAAAGAAAGATGTATGCTGTACAATCGTTCCATCCTGGGAAATGAACAGTTCAAAATTACTAAGAAATTCAGGCCCATGATGAGCGTTCCACTTCTGACCACAACTATATTTATAAATGGCTGCACACAATCCATGTATCGTATACAAATGTATTAATTTAGAATTACCCTCCCACGCTTCCAGACATATTTTTATTTAGTATAGGAAAAAGGAGAGAACAAATTCCTTTTAGCTTATTTGATTAGTTTCTGATAACACTTACAATCCCTCTTTTCACATTATAATCATGGCAAAAAGAAAGTACACCATCTTTCAATTCACAGGTTTTACAAATCAGGACATAATAAAAATAATCTGATCCTTAGCAGGCCTCAAAATTAGGAAAATTAAACCTCTGACAATCAACTAAATGACAGATATGACACATTTTGCTAAATGACACATATTACAATGTGCAGTGTGTGTAGGTGTTAAGATTTGGATTTGCTTTGCAGCCACGGGCCCTGGGCTTCTTGCGGTTACTGACTCGACCATGAACTCCTCTGCATACCAAATTATTCAAGAATCAAATGTAAGGCCATCTGTCTCATAGATAAAGCTTGGTCAAAACTGGTTCATACAACAGGACAGGACCTTAATATAACCTGAACCTCAATGGGCTGAAGCAACACTGTAACAGAGAGTAGGGTAAAATTCCTCTGCAAGAGACAAGTCATACAGAAAACGATTACTTTAAGTTGTTGTTGCTAAAGGAGGCTCCATAAACTATTAATTTATGGGGTGTACTTAATTTTTCATAAACTGCTTCTGAAAGAGATGTAAATAGACTCTTCATTAGACAGAACCTTTGCAAAACAGCTTGTGCAGACTTCCGAAGTACTGAGTACTTCAGCTGATATCTTCAATACCTCGCTGGAGAAATGTGCCAGCCTGCTTTAAGGCCTCCACCATTTTTCTGTTTCCCAAAAACAATTAAAATTCGCCTTGATGACTACAGTCCTGTTGCTTTGACCTCATTAGTAATGAAAATGTTTGAGGATGTTGTGTTGTCACATTTCAAACCCATCATTGACCCCCTCCTGGATCCCTTGCACTAAAGTTATGCTTTCAACACCATCATCCCAGCTCTACGTCTCTCCAGGCTGAATGCACCTGCTCCCACCTACACTGGGATTAGTGACTTCCTGTTTGACAGAAGGCTGCTTGTGAGATCAGGCAGGCCCATTTCAGATTCAAAGAAGGTGTTCTTACTTTGACTGTCATGACTGTACATAAACCCTTCGTTTTATTGTAAAATGACTATAGGAAGCAGCTGTTTGTTTCACAGGAATGTGCGCAAGTGGACAACAAGCTTGTCACGGCAGTATTTCAGGACAATGTTTTTATACTCCAAAGCACCTCAGTAACATAAAATCACTGGAAACAAACAAATGAACAACAATAATGCTAAATATTTTCTAAAATAGTCAGGAACATGTAGCCTATTAGTTTGTGGACATCATAAAACATAAAAACAAAAAATCAGCCAGGAGCAGGAAACAGGAAAAAAAATATTATCATCAAAGAAATCTCAAATACTTTCGTGACTTGAATATGGAAACACATGTATGGCATCCTAATACTAAAACAGACATAACAGAATACTGTAACTGGCATGAAGCAAAACTTTGTAATAGAGGAAGAAAAATGAAAAAGTGAAAACAAAAGTGACCTTGCTAAAGCTGAAATTAAAGAAACAAAAAAATTGTTTGAAATGTATATTTCTTTAAAAAGGCCACATTACATAATCACATTCTTTCTGTCTTTTATATGATTTGTCTGTTATAGCCTTACATTAAAATAACCGTGAGTCGTTTTTAGGTAAAAATAACAACATACATATAAAAATATCCATTTCGACTGACATGTTTCCTGTAACAGACTAAATAAATCTGGGTAAAAGGGACGTTAAACCAAACTAAATCACAACACTGCACATTGAGGAGAATAATACTTTCACACACTGTACTGTTGCTGCTGATCTTCCGCAGTGCAGTTTGCAGTTTGCAGTTTAGTATGCTTTGAAATTTGAATATCCTCATATGTGAGGATATTTTTTTACTCACAACTTTCACCCTAAAAGCAGAGGATAGCCAGCAGGTGGAGTATTTTTACTAAAGCAGGAAAATCAACCTCTCGTTTCCCAATAAGTCTCTATGATTTCATGTGACCTCACATGTAGTAGTATACCTATTCTATACCTCTTCAAACAGCCCGTGTTGAATCAGCTACATACATGGGAAAGCAGGCCAAGGCCAAGTGAAAGATTAAAGGGTTTTCTCATTTCTCTAATTTATGCCTTCTCATGTCCCCTGTTCTTCCTCCTGTCTCAGTTCCTAAAATGCATCTGCAGGTCTTGCTACAAGAAGCTACAATCGAGGATGCACAGGTATGTCCTTTGTCCTCTTTTATGCACTGAAGTGTTTCACTTGCAGTGTATAAAAGAGTTTTGCAGACAGCTGGAATAAACAGTGGAAAGAGAACTCTGCACACAAGCAACCATATCACAATGTGTTTAAAATGATCAGTTGTGTTATCAAATGTTCTGAACTCTTCTATCTGTGTGTGTTTAACAAAAATATCTCAAATTTTCACAATCCAGTTTGTTGTAAATATAAATAATGTGTTGTCATTTTGGAGAAGTGCATGCTTTGGGTAGGAGCACGCTTGGGAACATGAGGACCTTGGCCTGCATGAAAGACAAGTTAGGAAGCACAGCGATCACCCTGGAAGCCTCTTCACTCAGCTCTTCACTCGGCAGGAATTTTCTGTCAGAGAGCACACGCAACCAAACAGTAACAGTTAAACTGGCTTTGAATTATTTCAATTTAAAACAAAAAACAGATCATATATCAGATTCACTGACCTCACTGAAATGCTCGTCTTCTCTGCGGAGGACATCAGGCGATTCAAAGTGTCCTCTAGGTGGCTGCTGTTAGTGTTGATTTCCAGCTTGCTGATGGTCAACTCATACAGCTCTGGATCAATTCCTTTACACAAAAGTGTTTCGTTATAACAAGACATACACCACAAGCAGCATTGAAGGCAGGGGTGGGCAAATAATTTTCCCAAGTTCCCAAATGAAATTGGGATTGTTGTGGGTGGATGCATTAAAAAGCTTATAAAGAGATGAGCCCACTCCCAACCAGTCGTGGCAGATGGCTGCCCCTCTTTGTGTCTGGTTCTGCTGAAGGTTTCTTCCTGTTAAAATTAAGTTTTTCCTTCCCACTGTCAGTAAAGTGCTTGCTGATAGGGTGTCTAATTGTTGGGGTTTCTCTGTATTATTGTAGGATCTTTACCTTATAACATTGAGAAGACTGTTGTTGTGATTTGGCATTATATAAATAACATTGAATTAAATACATAAGATTAATATTGAGCAGAATTGAGTTCAGCTTAATGGTCTGGCCTTCCACAACAGTCCCAGTTTCTAATGTGGCCTCTTGAGAAAAGTATTTGTCCACCCCTGATCTAGGCTCATTTCTGTATTGCTCTAAGTATCACAATTGAAAGGTGTAGTTATTTACCTGGAGGGGGACTCTGGCTTTGGGTGCTACTGCTGGACCTGCTCTCATCCTCAGGACCAAAGTAATCCAGACTGAGAGCAGAACAGTCTGTGCTAGCATAAGGGAGAAAGAAGAAGAGGTCTGAAGCTTTGTCTTTTTATCAGGACAGTCAAAGGAAATGGGTACAATCATTAAGGTAAATAAAAGAACCTCAATGGCATGTGGTGTCAGCAGTTTTGCTTGTTAGAAGTTATCTACATGTACTCTCCATGACTTGGAGTGTACACTTGGAAGGCAAGTATATGTATATTGGTATGTTAGTTTAAGTTTAAATCAGTGTTTTGGAGCCTGCTGTGGTGGAAGTCTTTAAGTGTGTTTCACTGAGAACACCCAGTGGTGTTGTGTACTGTAGTGAAACCTTTTTCACAGAAGACATACTGTGACTTGTCACAACAGGAATGTAACAAGGGCTTAGTTACCATAAGTCACATCAAATCATGTGCCACAAGAAATCCTCTAACTTTATACTTTATACTTAATGTGTCCATGATATTTTTTGTGTAAATAAAGAGCAGAGGTTTTTTTGGGCACACTAAGTTATATGTTAGAGCCATATTACCAGATGAAGAATAAATATAACCAGCAGTGAAAATTTGACTTTAGACTCAAATTGAGGCATTATTGTTCAGTCATGTTGTCATTTGTAATGCCTGTTAATGTTAAAGTAAAACTGTACTGACAAAACCAGTCACAACCAGGAGGCTGCCACTTCACTGCAATGAAGAAGGTTAAACAGTAGAGGTCAGCAGAAACACACCGCTAAAGTTGGGTTTATTTTAGTCCGTTTCCCTTTTAACTTTTATATGTGATTATTGTGTGTAATACTAGTGAATGGTAATGCTAAAAGGTTCTAGCTTAAAGATGAAATAGAATAATCGAATCAAATTAGTAGTCTTTTGTACTAATTGATGAGGATTGCCTCCTCCTGAAGACTGGTGGATTTGTCCTTATAAGGTCATGAAATAAAACCTTGTCATTTGTAGTTAAAAAATGACCCCAAGTTCTGATTTTTTTCCATTTTTGTGTGCAACTGAAGTAGTCTTAAAGGTCAATTAATACCAACTAACCTTGTGTAAACACACACAAACACACACACACACACAGTCTGACTAGACAACCACACCTGATTACTACCAGTCCTAACTAAAAATAACTTAGAGATTTTCAGAAGCGCAGAGTCAGTTAAATGACCTTTCAGCAACACAATAATCCTAAATCCAAAGAAATTCTGAAGAACTTAAGAAGAAAGTGATAAATACATCAGTCTGGGATGGGTTACAAAGCTATTTTTGAGGCCAGTTCATGTAAACCCTTGCAGACACATGGCCTCCAGATCCACAACGACACATTATCAATAAATAAAGACTTTCCAGGACGGCTCATCCGGGAAGTCATAAAAAAAAAAAAAAATAGAAGTCAGCAGAAACACATCTAAAGAGAAAGATGTAAGAAACTGTGCACAGTGGGCAAAAATGAGACCCATGGAAGAGTGTAGACGTTATAGCATCTTTTGAAGAAAACTAAGGCTTATACAGACTCTGCTAAGACATACTCTACTGGACTCAGACATTTTGGGTCAATGTTTTAAAGAATGATTAGGATGAACTTTTTGTAAGAGAAAAAGTGTCACACCTGGTATAAACCAGACTCAGAATTCAACAAATTGGATGCTTTACAAAGAGTCAAGCGTGGAAGTGTTAGTGTTGTGAATGCTGTTGGTGCCAGTTGGCAGAGAGAAACTTGATATTGACCAAAAATCTTGTAGAGCAAAAAGTAGTTGCGGCTGCTCCTGAAGGGTCACCACAACAGGTGGATCTGCTTTGTTACGTTTCGGTGTTGTCAGTGTTTTGTTTTTTGCGTGACTGTCATGTATTTCCTGTTTTACTTTGAAAGTCTGTGTTATCTTAGTGTGTTCAGTTTACTTTTCCTTGTCTCGTCAGGTCTAATTTGCCCCAGCTGTGTTTCCCTCCTGTGGTCCATTCCCTGATTGCTCCTTCTATGTATTTAAGCCTTGTGTTTCAGGATGTCATGGTCGCGATCTCCCCCCCCGTGTTGTAAATAAATAGTTTGTTATAAATAGTTGTGAATGGGTTTGTCAATGCTTTCGTTATGGGATATTTTCGTTTTGGGATTTTGGTGGAGAGCCTTCGTGGTTTTATTTTCCTTATTTCTGTTTTTCTACGTTGCACCCTGGTTGCCTAGGCCAGGGTGTAAGAGCTTGGATTCTCCTAACGCACCCCTCCCATTTATCTGGGCTTGAAACCAGATCGATGATTACGCTAGCATGTCTGGGGGCTCTTGCCAAAAATCCCAGAACTCAGTTTCGAGTGCAAGGGCAACCCTGGTGAGACAATGATCTAAACATAACAGTAAACAAAACACTTCCAAGAAGTTCACTTCTAAATGGCTCATGAATTGAATAAAATTCCATTTTAGTGTGAGCTAGTTTGAGGTTGGACTTGAACCCCACTGAGATGCGGTGGGAAGATCTGAAAAGAACCATTAGGCCTCAAAACCAGCCCCCTAAATGTGGCTGCACCAAAGCACAAAGCATTTGGTTGTACGTGTTCTAAAGGTGGCACAATTGGCTATTAAATTCAGACACGATTTCTTATTACTTATAAAGTAATCGCGTCTCTGAATCACATTACAGAATTACAGAATCATTCCTCAAAAGGCTCAACACAATCATTTAGTGCTAACTGAATGTTTTTATGTAAAATCTTGTTTGACTATCTGACAGTTTGGAACACAAAAATGACAAAATGTAAATTGGATGGAGGTTAAAAAAAGTCTCTGCTTTTTGGACTTTTACATTTGTCTTGCAAAAAAAAAAAAAAAAAAAAAAAAAAAAAATCAATAAATAAATAGAAAAGCCATGCAAATGGTTAAGCTTTGAGTAATGTAACTCTAGTCAACCACTGAGAAGAGTGGTTTTATCACAAAGTGATAAGAGTGAAAACATGAAGAGAAGAGAAGACAAACCAAGCAGAAAGGATCAACCGATTTATTTCAGTATTTACAACTATTTCCCTCTACTCTGATAGGAGTGCATTAATTCTCAATTTGAGCAGTAAATCTGAATAAATTAAGAGGAAAAAAAGTTTTTTGTCACTGTAGGTCCAAACATTATTTCACTATTTGGGAGAAAAAAAAAAGCACTCATTAGAAAATGCTTAGCAAAAGGCACAACTCATTATTTAAAAAAAAAAAAAAAAAAAAAAGTGTGTGTTTACAGGAATAGTGCAGAAACATGTTTGATTGATAATGAAACACTGAAAAGCACTCAAAACCCGTTTTCTCAAAATAAAGCAAATTGGAATCAAACACTGCCACACAGAACGATCAGATCTAGAATCAAGTGCAAAAAAACTAAAAGAAAAACAAAGAATTAAGTATTAACTGACGACATAAAAATCACACCTGCAAGCTTTAACTGTGACTCCTCCTTTGCAATTTTAATTATGAAAGCCTGCTTTCTATTAGGACAGTAATCCCACAAATTAAATTTATCCCAAAATTGGCTTCATATCTAACAGAAATAAATAAATAATAAATTACAGAACAGACGACACACAGTTACATAAAATGATGTACAATAATAAGATTGCATCCTGCATCTTCTTGTATTAATAGATTTGTTCTTGCAAACTAGTAATGTGTTTTGACTTTCTTTCTGCACTCAGCACCACTTACACCCTGCACACTGCCCTCTGCTGTGCAAGCTTCATTATTACAACTTTAATCTTTGTTCTGCCCTATGTTTAGTCTTCTATGTGTTGCCGATCTAAAAATAAAATAAAATAAAAAATTACAAATAAATGAAAACAAACAAAACTGAACTCAGATGATCGGGAGACGTAAAATCTCTTTTCGTACAGTTGCCTGAGGACCTGCAGACTGAAATCATCCAGATTTGAGCAAGAACATTACTGCTCAAGTCCAGGAAATGGATGTAGTAGCTGCTCAGTGCCATCCTTAGTTATATACATGTATATATCAATAAACACCATCAAAAAAGATGCTATGTTTCATGCTACAAATTAGAAATGGATTTTATATTTTAGTTAGTAGTCACAATTCACATTTTTAGGTTAGTAAGCTATGCTTTCAGCCACGCTGCATGTCATACATGGAAAACAAACTCTTTGTTAGAATTATTTAGAACACTTTATTTTACCTTTACCCTCTTAAACATTTGCAGCAGCAAAATGATTTGCGTGGCAAAGTTTGTGTATACTGCTGTTTTACAGCAATGACAGAGCTATATCTTTTTTAGTGTGTTGGTTTGAATCCATGTCGCATTAAGTTATGAAAGAACCAGATGGGATTTTCCTACCTGCCCTTTTGTTTTTTTGTTTGTGGTCTCATCAAAAAGTTCTGCAATTCAATTGACAAATTCAAATTAACAAAAAACAAAGAACTAAAAACAAACAAACAAACAAACAAAAAAATACAACAACAAAAAAACCCAAAAAACTGCACCCCAGCAATACTTGGCTGAAGTCCCCTTCAAGATCATCTCCTTAATCTTTGCTTTCAAAAAGTTTGATGTTCATTATGAAATTAGGCAGTCATGCTTGAAGTGATCCAGATGTGCACAGGGAGATTACACTGAAGGGGAGATTGGCCATATTTTAATCTAATTTGCGTTTTTCTGTGGACTCTTGGAACCTTTTTTTTTTTTTAAATCATACTTTTTGATCAAAGAGAATATTTAATAATTTTTAATTTATAACTCACGATTTTTGGAATTTAGGATGAATACAAACGTTCATTTGAAAACTGCAAAAACATAAAACTGAACAGTACAATAAGTTATGATTCTCATTGACTTGATAAAACATTCCTGAGCAAAAAAATAAATAAATAAGTATACTGGTATAGATTATTCTTTTTTAATTTGTCTTTACTAGAAATGTCTAATGGCTGACTTACAGTAATTCTGGCAACAGGTTGACGATATTAGTACTAAGGACCTGGGAGTTTGACCCCCACAATAGCCAAAAATTAAAAGAGACCAAAAAAAAAAAAAAAAAAAAAAAAGATCCTTTAGAAGAACAAATCTGTTGATTATTCAGAGTGCACGTTATTTTCATGCTCAGTGAGTAAACCACAAAACAGAAATGAAACAGGTTAGTATGCACATCATGTCTTCAATAGGCTTCTTACACATCAGGTGTGAGTTCATTAGAAATTTTCCATAAATAAATTAGACTGAGATCATTTTTTTCCTCAACAGGACAACAGGTAAATACAACAGGTGAAGAAAAAGAGCAAAAAGGGAGATCAGCACAGTGTTTCCCCTGTTTTTGGTCATGATTTCAAAATACTGGATGATTGTTATTCTTGAGAGGAAATTATTATTAAAGGAAAATATTATATTTTGATGACATGTTGTGATCCCGTATTACTGCAAAGTGCCTTAAGGGGAAACACAGTAAATTCAAAGAGAAAAAGCACATGCTGTGAAGATAGTGAGAAGCCCAGAGTTAAATCTTAACAAAAGGTTTGGTTTGATAATAGAAGCCATGACTGGTAGTCTACTTCCGACCCCAGAAATGTGGGGCTCGGTGAGGGGACGTACCGTCCTGAGAGCTGCTAAGGCCACGACCGCTCCAGTCCAGCTGGCTGGAAGGGAGCTCCTCCTGCCACGACACAAAATTGACCTTCTTTAGTGGCATTTTAAGTTATTCCATTCAAGTGTAATGCTTTGTGATTTTGTTTAATGAGTCAAATCAAACAGACAAGTTTACCTGCGCTGAATGTGTTGAGGGGCCCGGTATATCCCGGGGCCCTGGAGGTGCTTGTGCTGTAACAGCTGTGCTTCCTGAAGAGCAGGCAGCTGGCACGGCATCTTTGGTTGGCTCAAGCATTCCCTGAAAGTGACAGAAACTGATATTCCAGCTGGGAAACACTGAATAAAGATACATAAAGAGCAACCGGGCCCACAGGGAAGCGACAAAGCCCAGTATGCTTTAGTACTACTGAATCTGTCCTCAATTCACAGACAATCAGACAAGACACAGTTTGTCTGATCTCCTACCACACACACCAGTGAAGTTTATTCACATTTACTGCAGCAAGACTCACCAGACTGGATGCAAAAGCAGGCACAGTCACAGACTGCTTATTCCTCCCAGTGAACACCTTGGAATTGGGAATGAGCAAGTGTTAGGAACACTATAGCATTGGAAGATACCAAGAGAATTTTTGGTCCATTTTAGCAGCAGTTTAAGCCATGTAATGGAAAATGCTACTGATGCCTAACTCACAACGTTTCTTGTGTCCACGCCAAGACAACTGAGCAGAGTCCTGTTAGTATGGGAGCCCCCCCATTGAAACTGGAGCCCAACTGCATTGTGGACATCCTGATGTGGCCTCAATATCTCCTGCTGAATCCTGGAAGGTCAGAAGAAAATTTAAAAGCAGCTAAGATTTTGAGAAGTTATTACTTTATCTGCTATATCAAGGAATGAAATTCTAAAATGTTAAGGATACCACTACAAATTGAAAAATTTATGCACTAATGTGATTAGTGCAAACTAATCGTATAGGGTACATCTTCAGACCAGATTTCTATTAACCCATTCATGCATGAATTATGACAACCTCAATCAGGATTTTTTTCTTAAATATTTTTATTCATCTTTAGGCAAAAAAGATTTTTGAACTTTATTTTTAAACTATTTTTCAAATAGTTTTTGACATGTCCACAAACATCACCTTTGGAGTGGGTGGCAGGGTATGGAGTGACACATCAGTGTCCAATGTAGTGGTTTATGTGCACATAAAAAAAACCCCAAGAAATCACAGAAAATTAACCAATCCTAAGCCTGAGGGGAAGTTGACAGACTAGCTGATGGCTTTCCAGATTGGTTAAGCCATAATTCAGGAGTTTCTCCTCACCGCTGAGCACTGCTGGGGACTGGTACCTCCTCCCCACTCTCAGAGAGATGCTCAGCTTGAAGCAAAGCACTGAGGCCAACCAGCTCCTTCTCATCTTCCACAGCTGGAACCACTACCTTTGGGAAACTGGCTTGAAGGATTTCCTGGACACGACAGGGCAGTGAATCCTGGTCAGATAGGAATATAAGATGGTTCATTTTTAAACTAGAATTTCAGAAATATCTATTTATCTTTTTAAAACATTAATATGCCTTTAAATAGCTTAAATTCTTTTTAAAAATTGGTAACATTTAATAATAAAAACAGACAACCGATAATGTAAGCAGAAGTTTAGGTTTTTAAATAAAATTAACTTCTACCTGAGAGCTGTTCCTTCTTGTTCCTTCCACTCTGTCCTGCTTATTCTTTTCCTCATCGTCTACATCAGTCTGCAGGCTGCTGACTGGTGCTCTGAACTGTCTCCAACTTCTTCCATCCTCTGCACTCTGGTCATTGAATTCCGCCCACGACCCCTCTTCATCCTCCTGCGTGGGCGCCGAGCAGAAATCTGCAAAGCTGTCACTCGGTGGGAGATTTCCCAGAATCTGCACCCCTGCATCAGCTGTTTGAAGATCTTCTTGAGGTCTGTGATGCTCAAAACTGCTGTCAGTAAAGTCAGCAAATCTGTCTTGCAAATTTGTTCCAGATTGTGACTGTTTGGAGGTAGCAGAATTTTCCTGAGTCGGATATTCGTAGTGATGAATGTCCCTGTCTGACTCAGTCTGGTTGAGGTTTGTCACATTACTGTTTCCAAAAGAGTCAGAATGTCTGCAGTTTCCCAGGTCTTCATCTTCATCAAACTGGTCCCAATCAGTTTGATCATCTTGAGAAGCAAGGGATGAAACATTTGGTTCCAAATCTGCAGAAGCAACCTCAAATGACAAATCATCACTGAAGGATGCCAAGTCCTCTGACATAGGCTCATGCATACTACATGTTTGAAAGATTTCTTCTGCATCTCCATCGTCCTGTACCTCAGAGGTTTGAAGAGAATTAAAGCTATTCCTCCTTTCCCTCTGACTATCCCAAGGCTTATCTAGCTCCTCCTCTTCAGAAGGAAAACTCCAATTTCCTGTAGCTTCCTGAGGCTGATGATGGACCTGAGATGGTTGCACAAGTGCTGCATCTCTTTTCTCCCTGATCTCAGTGCAGATGTTTTGTTTTTCTTTGTGTGCACAGTGATATCTGGGCTCAGATTCCATAATAAAATCCTCTCCTGATTCATGTATTTGTTCACTAAAGGTGCTGTTTGTCCCTTTTACTCTCGCATCCTCCTGCTCTGTGTTAGCCAGTGGAGAGAAGCCACAACACCAGGGGTGTCCCGTCTGCTTTGTAAACACAGTGAAATCAGCAAACCCCGTTTCCTCCACAGGAGACCGACCACCTACAGAAGAAGTATGGGCCCCAGAGTTATGTTCACTTTCAGCAAATCCATTTGTGAGGTGCAAAGAAGGTTCAGCATTATAATCCTCCTGTCCTACATCCATCTGAGCCTTACCAGACTCCAGCTTCACTTCGGATGTAGGCTGGGATTGTTCACCTGCGCAATTAGAGCTGCAACTGGGTTGATGGGTGGCTGGTTCTGAGGTTGGAGAAGGAGGTCTGAAACTAGAAGGTGACTCAGTTGCATCAGCAAAATTAAGAGAGGAGCAGGACATCCCGACAGAAAAGTCCTTAAACTCATCCTCCTCTGATGCCACCTCCCCATCACCATCATCATCCATCAGAGGCAAGGAAGAGGAGTGCAAGGGTATGATGTTGGGTTCCATGGGTTCTCCTTGCAGGACCCAAAGGACTCATGCACCTGGTAGAAGAAAGTGCACACAATCAGAAAAGAAGGATAAAAAAAAAAAAACAACAGCTTCTGGGAATAATTTCAGTGTTAAAGTTATTTGCTTAATAATTTATACTTAAAGGTTATTTTTGGATAAAGCTTATATTTTCGTCTGGATCAAATGACCCTGAACCCTTGTTTGGGGGGGGGGCCTTTCCATGATGCACTGAGCATTTCTTCCTTAATCATTTCTTTTCACTCTTTACTGCATTCAATCACTAGTAGTTATTAAACTCTGGCTCCTTCTACCGTACTCTCTTTTCTCCCATCTCTGCTCTCTTCCTTTGCTGGTCACGGCAGATCGCTCTTCCTCCCTGTGCCTTTTTCTACCAGAGGTTTTTTCCTGTTAAGAGGGACTTTTTCATTCCCACAGTCACCAAGTACTTGCTCATAGGGGGTTTTCCGATTGTTGGGCTTTTCTTTGTAATACTGTAGTGTCTCTCACCGATTAAATATTCCAATAATAAAAATGTGCTGGAAATAAGCAGGCCACGTCCCCTTTAAATATGAATATTTTTTTTACCTTTTAAAAAAAAGTTTTATTTTTATTTTATTAGCCTGGCTCACCTGAGATCAAAATAGCAGGCAGGTGGAACAAAAGACCAACTGAAATAAATTTGGCACAGCCCTGTGATCGTTGATTTCCACACTTGTGTACATGGGACTGCTGGCATTCTGCAGAGTTAAATAATGAGGAACTTGCACATAATGTACACAATGAGCAATCTGATTTCCTCATTTCAAATATCACCTTCTTTCATTTGATCTATAAAACCACCTGCATGACTCTCCACCTGGTTCTGATCCTAAGACGCAAGAGAGGCCAGCGCTGCCCCGGACAGTAAGCCGATACGGGAAACAATATCCGCAGCTTTGTGCTACTTAGATGAACAGCACAAACCCGAAGTCTTAGCCCTACAGGGGTCACAGATAAGCTCTTAACGCAAAAAACAAATGAACTGGAGTCTATTCTGGTTCATTCTATTTAACAAATGTGATCATGTGAACTCTGTGCGTGTTTCTGTATTGAACAAGTTAACGCACGCCTTTTGTGGGCGAAAACAAGCACCGCCGTCCTGCCATTTTCTCCAGCCTCTTCATCCTGGACAGACAGACAGGTGTCATCGTGGCATGACGTGAACAGCTGAATGTAGAGTCATGTAAACGCAAACTGTTCACGAAACTCGCTAATTAGGTAGCACTGATGCAAAGAGAGCTTACTCACCAATAAATAATGGGGTTAAAATAAGGTAGTTCCCAAACGGCATTCCGCTGTCCTGTTACCGACACAGAAGCTGATTAGCTGACATGGCCAGCGGCTAGCTCATGTAGCCGCTGTCTGATGCTAGCTGTCCGTCAGAATCAGCCAGACAGTGACAGGCCGTTTAACGAGCAATCCCAGCTCTTTATTTATCACCTCTCGTTCACTTCGCCTGTCTGTCAACGGTGCAGCCCTTCTCCATCCTCTCGCGGTCTCCGTAGGCGTCACCTGGGATGCTAAAAGTACTAAGATGTCACACTCTGCTCCATCCACAGTGAAGGGAGTAACTCAAGGTCAGCGTCACAGATGGGGAAAGGGATGCCTCTTCAAATAGACGATCTTCGTTGAAGAATATCGCCTCCTACTGGAGGAAATTTATTCCTAAATTGCCTTTTTTTAACCTCCACTTTGTTACTGTCACTGTAAACAAACGAATGAACAAACTATGTTTCATGGATCTAAGTTAGCATCCTCAGGTTTGCAACTGTGGGAAATATATTCTTCCTGGTGTTTATCATGTTTTTTCACCTGTATCAGGTTATCTGTCCATAGGAGTTGCCCTTATCTCATATCCTACAGTACAAAGGCTTAGATCATTTATGGAAATGTGTGCTTTATCACTGTCTATAATTATTCTTTTTTACTGTGCAAACATTCAAAGCAAACACATAAAATATCAGAAAATAAAAAATAAAACTGGGTCGAACTATGTGAAGACTGGGCTGACCTTTTCTGCTTCAGCATAGCTGTTTGTATGGCAGAATAAAAGAAAGTGTCAGGCTTTACAGGCCACATAGTTTCAGGATTTTCTTTAAGTGATTGGTTTGAGATTTTTAGTTGGATGTTGTTACGGTCTTTTCTTCCTGTTTGTTTTGTTGTGCCTTCCTGTTTATCTCGTTTCTCCATTTCCCCCTCCCTTTGCCTTCATGTTTCAGTATTTCTTTTCCTCTTTGCAGTTAGTCTGCCATCGTGAGTATTACCTCTATTTGATTCCAACTCTCTTCAATCTGTCATGTGTGGAAGTGTCTTGCTTCTCCCCAAGTAAGCTCATCTGTTTCCCCACCTCTTCTTCCCTGAGTTCCTTCTCGCTTGTTTTTGAGTGGGAGTTTCTATTTGTTTTGCCTACTGGACTTAGTGTAACATTAGTTCTTTTTGGATTAAAGGCTTTTGCATTAAAGGCTTAGCTCTTGTTTATTTAACTTGCCTCTGCCTCCCATTGTTGGGTGCAGCATGTGCTAACACATGTAACTGCAGTAATGTTACATCTGATCTGTGTATGATCTGAATATTATTACACAGCGGTTCCACTGATGATTTTCACATCATTTTTCCCCTAACTAAGGGTGTATCTGTACACATCATTCATAAAAGATGTGTATTTTGAAAAAATGCAAACATTCATCACTAATACAGATTTTTATAGGCACCTTTGAAAACACTCAAGGACACCTTACAAATTTAATAACAATTTCAAATTCTGAGGCAAGTGGACATGCAAAAAAAACTCTTTGAAAGGTAGATGTTTAAAAGGTTCAAAAAAGTTTTTTTCATGCCCAAAGCTTAATAAAAATACTTAAGCAAAAAAATCCCAATTGAGGTTGTCATAATTCATGCATGAAAGGGTTAAAACTTATCCTTTGTTTCATTTTTTTAGTGAAACTCTGGTAGAGTAGCTTTGAAACTGATAATTCAGCATATACTAAAAAGCCTTTTCTTGTGGATATTTTATTTTGCAATATTTCTAATTACCACACTTAAAAATGAACAGCCTGTAATGCTATCATGACTCATCACTTTTTCTCTCCGTTTTGGCCTTCTGTCCACACTGAGACGGTGTTTTCGGTCAAGGAAAGCGCAGCGTTTTGAAAACGCTCTCCAAAGCGTATACATTTGAAAAACGACGTTTTCGAGTAGCATTGTGGAAAGCGAACTGGAGCCTTTTTGAGAACAATGATACATTGTAGACTACGTCCACATGTACACGGGTATTTCTGAAAACAGATTTTTCGTTTTTTTAAAAAATCCCATCCACAACAAAAACGAAGGAAAATGCTGAAAGGAGCATGCCAAAGCAACAGGTGGCGCTATATTCCTAACCGTGTAGAAATGTTGGCCAATCAGATGTCTAGACGCCTGGGCGGGAACGAGTAAACAAAGATGGCGCAAAGAAGCAGACCTGAGTCCTATGCGTGGAGGGACAGTTACTGTCTGTGTATGTAAGCATTTAAACACTACAGAGAGTAAAATTAACAGTATTTTGTCTAAGTCCGCCATTGTAGAAATTGATTTCACCGAAACAATAACTTGGCGCACCTATGACCCTGCGTTTTCTCCGTTTTTCTTGTCCATAGTAAACGCAAAAACTGAGTTCTTGAAAATCTCCACCCAGGCAGGAATTTTTAAAACTCTCCGTTTTCAGTGGCCGGAAACGCCATTTACGTGTGGACCAAAGGTACAAACGCATAGAAAAATCTACGTTTTCAAAAATACCCATACATGTGAACATAGCCTAGTCAAGTGATGCAATCATGTGACAAATTGAGACAGCACCGTTAAAGATTAATATCAGTTTGTACATGGTCCAGATAGCTTTTCTTCAATTCTCAATCGCTTTTCCAACTTTGTACTTTTGTATTACTTGCAGCAACAACTCCACCTAATTGTTAGTCCATTTAAAAAAAAAACCTCATTGCTTTTGCTCGACATTTTGCAGAGACAAGAGCCAGAAAGTAAATCCGGTTGTTCAGTCTGACGTCACTAGCCGTGTCTGGGTCTAAACTCTGCTGCAGGTCCATATATCAAACGATCACTATGGCATTACTGAGAGTTGAAAAACTGTCTAAAGTCTTTCATCTTTATTAAAATGATCAGCGTTCTGCTCTACCAGGTGTAACAATTGAGTTTAACATCCAGGCATCCATGAAAGCAGAATTTATGACATTTAACAGAATTAGAAGTTAGCAGGGAGTTAGCTCGCTAGCTTCTATCTAAATACAATATAGCATGTCCTGACTGCGGGGTTTTGGTAACAAATTAAAACGTACAACTCTTATCACTTCCAGCATAAACGAAGACAGAAAACTAAACAGCAGTGCCGTTTGTAGGGTTACTGAAGTTGGGCTAGCTGGTATATAATGATGTGCTACGTGATCGCTAGCGACACAGCTATGTTAGCATAATATAAACAAGCTAACTTTTTTCCCACTCGATAAAAGTTACCGTGAGTGTTCTCGGTGGTCAGGAACAAATGTAATCGCACGGCAGGATGCTGTAAAAGGACCAAACTTCAGCCAGGAGAACAACTGAGATAATCCATCCACAATACGAGGTTAGTTGTAACTGTTGGCATGATGACATTGTATATAATTTGGATTATTTCTTTATCTCGTCAAGATCCATGTCATGATTGTAAATTATTTAAGCTGTACAGTACTTTGTTTGTTTTTTGTAGTCAACGTTTTGGTGCTTTTATTTTGAAAGTCAAGTTCGCTTACAAGTTGCGCTAGTTTCCTCTTTGGGTAGAACGAAGAAAAACACCTGTAAGCGCGCAGAAAGGATGGTTTTTATTGAAAGACATGTTAAGTGGACTTTGACTACACACGGTTAAAGGAAACCTCAGAAGAACGGTGGCTAATTCCCTTTTTGCAGCATGCAGCCAACGAGGTATTTATTTATTTATTTATCTATCGTGTTTGTTGTACAGTGTTTTTACTGCTGTGTCTTATGCTGAGTTTTATTTTGTTAATGCTGTATAGTTTTCACGGTGGCTTTGGAGAGAAGTCTTCAAATAAACCAGTGACAGAAAACCACTTGCGTCTGCCTGTGCTTCGAGGGAATTATAGTGAAAACTCGGACTGTTCGTCGACGCAAGCGGCCACTAATTGACGATGCGGCAACTTCAAAGCATCAGCGGGCTTGTTCCTACATGTCTACAGCGCAGCGGAGCTGACAAGAACTGGCAGATAAGCTGAAAGTACTATATGCATATGGTGATATGACACATGCACAAGTATTAAAGGGCAGTGTTTTAAGGAAAGGTGTTTAAGTTAAGTGGCCTAAGAAGGGACCTTTGCAAACATTTCTGAAGAATACTGTGATTGATAACTACTGTGGTGTATAGTACATCTTGTTTTGGTGTAAGCTAAAACTTTTGAAGATTTTAAGATAAAAGTGCATTTGGGAAGCAATAAGTGAAGGTTTTGGATGTAAATTCTTGAACTGTTTTGAAGTTTATTATCAGGTGTATTTTTGTAAGATAACACTTCCATTTGAACTGTGTTATTTTTGTGCCATTTACATATGAGTAAGTGTTAAACATTGAGGCTTGGTTAACCATCTACATTTCTTATTTCTAAGTGGGTTGATTAAGAAGTGCTGTAAAATGTCAGAACCAAGCGAGCCTACAGTTCAGTTTAGTGACCGTGCAGACTTTCAAGATCAGTCTGAAGAAGGTCAAGTGCATGGTGCTGAAGCTCAGCAAGAGGAAGCGCAGCAGCCAAGACGAAGTGAAAGAATCAGAACTCTAACAGAGAAAGGCAAAGAAATGCAAGATGAGAAAATTAAAGCACTCCAGCAAAGGTTTAACTATATATATGACAAATGGAAAACACAAGTTAAATCTGCAAGACAATCCTTATCACAGACAGCAGAGACCTTATCTGAGGACTTGCTTAATGACATTATAAGTGATGTCACAGGTCTTTCTGCAGATGTCCAGCGTGTCTATGAAGAGCTACGAAAGATCTCTGCTCCAGACCAGGTCACGCGTCGTAGAGTGGATCGGTGTGTAGAGATTTCTACATTTGTTGCATCCAGAGCCTCAAGTAGGTTGCATGGAAGGTCTCCAGAAAAGGAGGAGCAAGACTGGCCAGAAGCAGGCTCTCTCTTTAATTCAAGCACCTGCAATTCAGGTTCTGTTGCTTCCATTTTGAAAGGCACCTCAGTACTTTCAAGCAGGTCTTCTGCAAGGCGACAAGATGCTGCTGCTGATGTTGCTGCAAGTCAGGCTGTTCTTAAAGTGTTACAAGAACAAGAAAAAGAACAGTTAGAGATCGAGCGTCTAGAAGCCGAAGCTAAGAAAAAGATAGCTGAGCAGGAGGCAGCAGCAGTAAAACGTCGGTTAGAAAGAGAGGCAGAAGAGGTAAAACGAAGAATGCAGAGAGAGGAAGAAGAAGCTAAAATTAAGGCTCAACTAGAGGAAGAGCACATAGCTCTACAAAGGACTCTGGAGGAAAAGCGGAGAAAATTACAGCATCTGGAGGCAATGAAGGATCTCAGTG